CTTACTCTTTCTTTTCCTCGACCCGCCCCCCCCAAGCCCAGTGCATGCCCAGAAGAAGCATTGCATTAGTTAAACCTGGCTCATCCAGTGTCTGTATAGATCAGGCTCTTTAGTGGGGCTTTTTTTTTTTTTGTATGCATTTATCTAATAGCTGATTGGCTGGGGTTTAGATAAGTGCCAAAAAACACTGCCGAAGCACCTGATCTATACAGATGCTGTGGAGCCAGGTTGAAATAATATGCTGCTGCTATCAGTAAAGCGTGTGTGTGTTTGGTTTTTGTTGTTGTGTTTTCGTTTTTAACATCTGTAAGCAGCCTCTGTATGAGCCTTGCATTTCTCCAGTGCATATAGATAGGAGGTTCAAGCTTGTCATTTTTATAGTGTAAGCTTCAAGTTTTAATGAGTCCTTATTTTCTCTGAGCCCCTCTTAATTTTAAAGGCAGTAGGAGCAGGAAAAGTAAATCACATACCGATCAAAAGAAAGATGCAGCTGAAAGATCTACCTATGTGTAAAGTTTTACCTAGTGTAAGAAAGACCAAGGACAAGCTTTCCCTTAATAGAGGCCACTAGATAAGCTGGTTGCATTTCACTGAGTCAAATGGCTAAAACTAAACCATTTAAAGAGAATACTGATGTAACTAGGGAGTATTTAAAAAATAAAGCTTTTGGGGTTGGAAAAATTGCCTCTTGGCCCTTCCAGTTCAAATCAAGGGCAATATCTACAGGATTTGGATGCCGCATTGATGGATGGAAGTGCATGCAAAAAAATCAGTGACACTGCTTTAAACTTGTTCCATGCATGTTTAGCCCTTGCCAGTCTCATGCAACAGTTTTCAGAAAGCTTTTCTTTGGTTATGTGCTTATTCTTCCTTTCTGAAGTAACCCTTGCAATGTTGCAGGTGCTTTTGTTTTGGTGCTGGAGTCTTGCAGTTCAGGCTCAGTATCTTGTGAGCTGTCTTGAAAACATTTCTAATGGAATTCAAAATTTCAGACTTCATGTACTGCTTGTTTCTGATGTTAATTCTTTGTTTTCAATTTTACCTGAGTAAAGGCCATCCTGGCTATCCTCTCTGACTTTCACTGGTGTGGATCAATATTGCAGTTGCTGAAATAGCAAGCAGAATAATTAGTCAATCTTAAATATTTTCTCCTTGGAACTGAAGTAAAATGTCTACTATAGAGCATTTACAAAGCGCAATTTGTGAAGAGTGATATTAATACACTAGAAATATTAAGATTAAACTTGATCACTAACTGAAGATCTTCTTTATTGTATTGGCTAACTCTAAACAGCAGGCAGGCATATTTATAGTAACAGAATGATATGGATGCATAATGCTTTCTCTTGTCCTCAGTCATAGACTGCATAGTGTAGACTAAGAGGCGAATACCATTTATTGCATATCTAAGTCTTCCTGATTTGGATTTCAAAACTGCAAGAATATTTTAATGCAACTATGAAAGGAATAAAAATTGATGTGTTTCTTTTTGCTACTTTGTTTTTTATAGGCATCTTAAACACTTCATATAAACATTTTTCTTGCTTAATACCGCATTAGAAAGGAAGGTCCTGAATATTTAAGTCCCTTCTGGAATAGAATTAAGCAAAAGATGGATTTTTAGGAGTTCAAAACTTTTTAAAGTTAATTTAGCTTAATTGTCTTAATACTTAGGGGAAATATATCTTTGTTCAAAATTTTAAATGAAGTTGTATAGTTTTAAGAAATGAGAGCTCACAGACCTGCTCTTTAGACATCCAGGAGATCTGCCCCTAAAAACTACCTGTGCTGTGGGAATTTATGTTGTAGGAAAATGCCTCGAATCAAAAGGGTGTTATCCTATGACCTCTTTGCAGAGTTTAGAAGTTATATTTATCAAGATATATTGAATAATTTCACCTTACCATTGATGCAGTAATATTCCTGGAATATAGTATCTGGTGACTTTTCCTTATTCTGTTGTATCCTGATGTTAGTTGCTCTAATTTTTTTGGTAAAACTCCTTTTTTTTCTCTCTCTCTCTTCCTCTCTCCTTAGATTTTGGATCTCTCTTTGATCTGGAACATGACTTACCTGATGAACTTATCAACTCCACAGAATTGGGACTTACCAATGGTGGTGACATTAATCAGCTGCAAACTAGCCTTGGTATGGCACAAGATGCTGCTTCTAAACACAAGCAGCTATCTGAACTCTTACGGGCTGGTAGCTCCCCAAACATCAACATGGGCGTGGGTGGACCTGGCCAGGGCATGGCCAGTCAAACTCAACAGAATAGCCCTGGAATGGGAATCTTAAACAGTATGGTTAAAAGCCCTATGGCACAGGCAGGGCTGACTTCTCCCAATATGGCAATGGGCCCAAGTGGGCCAAACCAGGGTCCTTCAGCCCAGTCCACAGCAGGAATGATGCCAACAGTAAATAGTCCAGTTAATCAGCCTGGCATAGGAATGAATACAGGGATGAATGCTGGCATGAATCCTGGGATGCTGGCACCAGGCAATGGACAAGGAATGATGCAAGGGCAAGTAATAAACGGTTCAATTGGAGCAGGAAGAGGACGTCCGAACATGTCATATCCAAACCCAGGAATGGGTAATGCTGGCAACTTGTTGGCTGAGACCCTGCAGCAAGGCTCTCCCCAAATGGGAGGACAGACAGGACTGAGAGGACCACAACCTGGAGCAATGAACAAGGTAAGGAACTTTATTTAACTCTCTCTGTTGCATGTGTTCATCAAATAAACAAATGATAAAAAGACAACTGAGGTGTAAAAACAAAAAATTGCATTTAGGTGTATCCTTTTGATAAGGTTTGTAAAGATGCTTTATTTTAGTCTTGAAGAGCAGTTGATAGAAAAACATTCAGAGATTAGAGGCAAAGCAGTCATGTAAAGTGACAGTTGTGTATTACAAGGCATTTTCATTAGGTATTTTAATTAGTATTGCTGGGTGAAAGTGTCTTATTTTTATGTTGCCACAAGGAATTTAAATTTATTACCACTACTCAAACAGCTTAGGTGAATCTTGTTTTGAGAATGTATGTTTGTGTGCCACCTCTGATGCTGGTTTTCTTTTACATTTACAGCAGTGCCAGATAGTACCACTATAACTGGTCTGTTTTTATGGTAAAAAAGGAGACCAACAATTATTAGGGGTATGGTCAGCAGGTATTTTCTATATTTTTAGATGTCATGGTAAATTTCTGGATGGCATTTTGCAGAAATTTGTTGCAGACATAGAATATTGGTTTATTGGATAACTAAAGCTGTTCAGAAAGATTAATATTGTACCTGGTAAAGTAATGGGTCAGTGGTCTTGGTGACAAATGTGCAGTCAGAGTTCTTTGTGCAACAGTTGTGTGTAGTCTTTATTAATTAAAGGTACTCCACTTCTTTGGACCAATCTTAAAGTCTGTTTGGCCTGCCTAATTAGGTCTATCCAGTTCTGGTATAAAAAAGCTGGAAGACTTGCTCTGAGATGAAGGGAGGGGAAAGCACCCAAAAATTTACTCTTTTTTTCTATTGGTAAAGAGGAAAGCTAGGGAAAAGGCTAGAAAGCAGTTCTGTGTCTCTTGGAAAATGGAAGAGAGATGGCTCTAGGATTTAAAATACGAATAGATTGCCCCTTATGTTTTCATCCTAATGTCCTGCCTGGAACTGGGAATGTGGCTAAGTATTTTCCGGGCTTGTTATCCAACCGTAAAATTATAAGTTTGAATACTCAGCTGCTATTATTCAGTCTGGGTGGGAATTGTGTACGTCCAGGTCTGAAAGAAAGTTGTTTTAAAGATGGTTTCAAGAACAATCTATTCAGAAGACTTAGTGATTGGTACAAAACAGTTAAGTTATTGGCAGATACTTTTTCTAGTATCATATTCCATAAAAAATAACCTTAAACTTTTATTTTAAATGGAATCTTGAAGAGTAATAGTTTATAATGTAGGCTAAACTTTAACCTAGTGTAAGTAAGGCAATTTTCAGAACATTTTATTTAATACAGTCTAAGAAACTATTAAAATTCTGGTGACCTTGATACACCAGATGTGATGTCAATATGCAAGTAAGTCCATTTGTGAATTAACAAGCTGATTTATGTTTTTAAATAGACATTGTACTTTCCTTCATTCTGCCTTTCATAAAACAAGGTGTGCCTTATTTTCCAGTGTTCTGTATGAGAGAGACCTTGCCAGAATCATGGTTGCATAGAGCAGGCACAGAACCTAACTTTCAACTGACTTGCCCTTCCTTCCCTGCTTAACTAAAGCTGAAACCCTAGCTTGTAGCTAAAGACTGGTTTCCATGGGTGGATCTATGATTTTGTGAAGAGCTTAAAGACTTTCCAGGGCTGTGAAAGAGGAGGAGAGAAATTAGGAGCAGGTAGCACACAGCAAAAGCACCCTTGAAAGTAAACTTGATTAGTGGAACATCAATCATTAATGATTCTGGAGTGAAGACCAGGGAGCCATTAAATGAAGTCACTCCCTCAGCTGGCTGAAGAGTAATACCACAGGTGTGCTGCACTGTAGAACAAGAATTGAAGCAGGGTACTTCTATCCCAAACAGATAATCAGCTTCCCCACTTAATTCCTTGAACACTGGAGGAAAGATGTGTGTTTATAAGAAAATACAATATTTTTTTATTAAACTAAGCTCTCTTGAACTGTTCAGTTATCACAATAAGGACATCTTAATATGCAGTTCAGGTAGTACTGTAAGAAGGAAACATGCAGCCACTAAATTCTATGAAAATAGCTTTGTACAATAAGGAGTATTGACATAGGGTTATCTTGAATTCAAAGAACAATATATCAAGTTAAAAAATGAATCTAGCTAAATGCAAGTTTAGTACAGTATATTTCAAAGTGTTTAATATTAAGTTTATATAATAATTTAATCAGATTTCAAAGTTTATGATGTAATTTGATGAAACACTTCCTCAAATAGTAAAATCAGTCTTTGAATTGATGATTGAACTAAGACTTAGACTGCTTCCTCAACCTTTCTGCATGCAAGTCCTGAAATTTGCTTTGCAGAGTCAAATAGAGAAGACATTTGAAATGTGATCTAATTCCTTGCTTCAAATCAAGGTTAGAGTAACTTAACTTGCTGTCTGATTGGTAGAAAGCATTTGCTCTATAGCTTTTAACATGGTGAGAGAAACATTAAAGCTTTAAATGTAGGCCCAAAAACATTTCAGTTTATTTTGGCTTATTTTGTTTGTAATATATATTATCTATAAAGCAGCAGCTTTGCCTGATGAGAGAGAAGAGCCTGAAATGGAGGCTGAAATTCCAGAAGGTCTTCAGTTGGTCTGGTTGTTGGCAAGCAGCCTGTATTTCACTTTTTGCAGTAGTTAGCACAGACTGACAGTAATGTCTGACCCCTGTACCTCTCTACTCATCTGCCTTTATGGCTAAGCTTCAAAAAGTAGACAGATATCATCATGCAAGACCTTATGGAAATTCAAAAGCATCTTTAACAAATCAAATTTTTGGTAAATTCCACTGAGGGATTATTGTTAATCTGGGATCCTGGGTTTGGTAACTCTTAGGAATAGCCCTGACAACTGGAAAAGGTGCATTTTTTTTAACTCTGTGAGAGTTAGCTGTGGAACACAGTGAAGACGAGGCATTTTGGTTTCACTGTAAGGTCAGGTGTTTTTCATGGTCAATCTCAGTGAGGATAATGCTGAACTTCTTGAAAATTGTCCTTATAGTAAATGTGAATTTTGACCTAAGAGGAGCTCATACTTGTTACCCTAAAGTTAAAAAAAAAACAACAAAAAAACAAACAAAACAAAACCCACAAAAAACCGCAAAACCCATAAAACCGAAAACCAGTTTTCAGCAGTGAAGGCCAGACCTTGTGGCTTATTTAGTCCAGTCCAGATAGCCAAACTATTTGTATTTATGCTGTGGCCTGTTGTTGATTTATGGAGGTAAGTGTGTAAGGTTTCTTTCATGATCAGCTACTGATGAAGTAGAATATCCTCTTTTTAGTTCAGATGTGTGTCCAAGGGGCACTTTAAGTGGGAGAGAAGCTAGAACAGGGAGTTCTTTGCCTGAATTAATTTGCTGCGAATTGTGTTTCATTTTGATAGAGTGGGGGGGAGAGGAGAAATTACACCCCCCCATTTTTTTGCAACATGGCTTTGATTGCCATCTCTTAACACATACAGATGCTTTTTCAAACTTTCTTGCTTTCTTTAAACACAAATTAACATTTTAAAAAAATAAAATGAATTTGCCTTGAATTGTTACATACATTGATTTTTTTTTTTTAAATCTGGGGAATAGATACAGTCTTAATCTTGTACTAAAATCCTGGTTTATGTATGCTGTTTTGACCTTAATTTATCAGTTCATTAAGGAAAAACTTTTGCAAAGGTGTGTTTTTTATACTAGATTCACCAAGTAGTATCTTTATTTGTATCAAACTTGATTAATCAAAAATACCCTGGTTTTAATGTAAAAAGGAAATAAAAACATTATACTTCAGCAAAAAGGTTAATTTTCCAAGCTATCTGTTTCTAGTCCTCTGGAACAAACTTGGCACATCTCTTTGCAATGGACAGATTTGTTTAAAATTTTCCTTGTTGAACTGTATTATATTTTGTTTCCAAGTGTGTTGGATGCTTATTTGGAGATGAGATTGTGTACCTGAAACAGACCCTATTGCTGTAAAGTGACAGAGGATTATTGATTATAGATAAAAGGTCCAGGCAGTTATCTAAAGGCAGAAAGGTTTACTCCACCCTCTTGAATAAGTCTAGAATTGCAACTAGTGTGGTTAGTTGGAGCTTAGCCTTAAGGAATCTAAATATCAGTCTTGGATGAATTTCCAGGTAGTATTTTTTTATAAATGCACAAGTCATTGTTATCCCTAATATACTTGAACTGGATCAGGGTATATAGTTGTTGGGATAATCAGGAAAAACTCCAGGGGGGTTTTCTGATGTTGGCTGTTCTGTAGTGTCCTGTGAGCTCTTTTAAGTTATTCCATTGTGGCCTTCACTACTTGTGTTCTTATTCAGAGTGGGAGGGTGCTTCAGATCAGTCTGTGCACTTCATTCTTGCTGGTTGCATACTCATGTCTTATGCCACAAATCTGAAGATGGAAGTGACTTGTCTACTTGACACACAACAATTTATTTTTCTAGTTCCTTAAAAATACACTCTTTACTCCTTCTATGAAGTGGAAATGAAAGAGTAACTTGTATTTTTTGGGCAGGGGATGTACTAGATGACCTTTTTAAGAGTCCTTCCCAGTCGTGTTTTCTGATTTATAGGGAAATTATTGGCAGATGTCAGTGACAGCCATTTGGAACACTTAAATTGTATGTAAAATGTTATATCTATTCGAAATATCCTTAAACAAAATACAGTTTAGCAGTCTTTATCATTTAGCTTAATAGGTAGTTTGAAGGTACAGAGAATTCAGAAGGCAGGCTGTTAAAACATTGGACAGACAATTCAGGTAACATTGTAGAAGAAGGCTCTGGCCTTATCAAGAAACTCTTATACTTGCAGCTGAATTCTGTTGCTCAACACTTTTTTCTACAAAGAATATAACTTTTTTCCTCAGTAACTTAAAAAATCTCCAAGTAAAATGATGAAAATTATGCTGACAGTATTACTAAAATGCAAACTTAGTACACATTTGTTGTGTGAAACAGTAACAAGAGATGGGAAAAGG